AAGATCCTTTTGTACAGAAGTACTTTATTTGCTCTGACCTAACTGGCCCCAGACCCACAACTGCGAATTAGTGCCAGTTTTGAAGATGGCTTCAGAGTAATGTACTGCACATGTTGCTCGCTATTATATTGTTATAAGGCAACCCTTCCATGGGCAAAAATTAGTCACATTTCACTGTAATCCGCAGTTTGGAACACAACGACACATGTTATGGGCTGCATGCACTTCAGCCTCACTGCATCCTCAGCTTCAGATTTCACATTATCTTCAGTCACTTTGGTCTTTGGTTTAAATATAAATGCTTAGATATAATAGGTGTTTTCTGTCTTTTTCTTCTTACTGTATATTCTTACCAGGTATATCGTTGGTACAATTCCCCTAATTAATGTGTATGTGTGTGTGTGTGTGAATTTTTTTTTTCTGTATGCAGTGTTTTATGTACATAATTTAATCTGAGATAATTTATTACCATACACCAATTATTCCATACTGCTGTGAGAATCTTTAATTTAGAATGGTTTTATTTGATTAACATATCCAATTTAACTGTTGGCAGGAGCGCTCATGTTTCTAGGTGACAGAATGTTGTCAGCCAGTCATCTGTTGAGCATTTCAGTATCCAATTGCTTGAAAGAGTTTTTTATCATTGTGGAGACACGCTGACAAAGCTCGGCCCCTGACAGGTGTCCCTGTCGCAGGGCCATCGGTCCCCCACGTGCTCACTTCTGCTTCTTACTTGCAGGACGTGTTTTCCTGCTATTCTCCAAACCCCACAAGGTTTAGCTCTGAAAAAGGTTGTCGTGCATTTTCATACAAAAAAAGAAAATGGTCAATTTAACAAATAAAAAGAAACATTATCACATTCGGGCTGTCTTGTGCTTTGTGCATCTTGGAATTGGTCCCAGTTTCACGATGACCCTGTATTGGATGGATGGATGGATGAAAAATATTTCTTATTAGGACCTATTCAATTGACAACCAGGCACCTGGTATGTTTGTTAAATAAAGCAAAAGGAAAGATCTGCAAATTCCACAAATTACTGTTACTGGGGATGTATCTGCTGATTCCTACCATCTATCACGCAGTAACAATGCCAATACACAATAGTTTTAACACTTAGAAGAACAGATGAGACATAAAAGGACAACAGATGAGTGTGACGATGTAGATCTCCCTTCACATGAACGCCCTGCATTGCTCCATGTCAGTTTCTATTTTCATCGTTAATGTGCTGATTTAAAGCTAGCCAGCGAGCAAAGCAAGCAAGAGGAGAAACATATAAATTATTTATGCGGGCAAAATTTCTTAGCAAAACAGATGAAATGAAGATGGCCCGCTCATGTAAGTATTTTGGTCATTGACGTGAGTAGGTATCTAAGCAAGCTTTGGAAGCCATCTGCTCTTGTGCTTTGCGACTTTGCAAACGTGCCACGTGTCCCAAAACATGGATAAAGGGACTTCCTGAGCACTCATGACATGAGAGAATTCCAGGCTTTGTGCATGCCTAATCACCAAACAGCCAGAGTATGTATTTACAAGGGTAAATTTTCAACTGGTGGTTAATCCTGTTCAATTTTGATTTATCTTCATAAATATATGGTGTTAAACCCACCCAGAAAATGCACATTTGCACAAGCACCCATCAGTGTTTGAATATAAACACGTGAAAAATCAAAAAAGTACATTATGCATATTTTGGAAAATGTTTATATTCTGTAAAATAGCAAAACAGAAAAGTGTCTTTGCCCCAAAATAACCCTGTATGTTTAATCTTTTAATGGATTTTTAAAAGAATAGAATTTGTAGCTGATCTGCTGATATCTTTTAATGTGACATGTCAGTTAGTGGGAATATCTTAGGTAGTGACACGCTCCAGCCTGACTTAACCTCAATCTCTGTTATTCTGCTACACTACATCAAGGGTGGACTGGCAACAAAAAGCAGCCTGGGAATTTGCTGCCAAACAGCTTCAATTTCATATTTTGCTGGATATTGTGCTGATTGTGGCAGGAAACTTCCCTAACTTCCCATTGCCCAGTCTGCACCTGTAGTACATTTATGTTAGCATCTATAAAATGTAAACAGCAGCTACAAAAAGAATGGTCTTTTACAAATTCTTGGCCAGTGCAATATTACATGCATGGAGTTGTGTGTGTTTACATGTATAATGGGACCACGCTTTTGGGAAAATGTGTAGTATGGTGGGGTGGCTTGTGGGAATTATGATTATTGGTGGCATCCGTTTCTATTAAAACCATATTGTATTATTTTTGGAACCAGCAAAAACCTACAACCTGAAAGTCTTACACCCTGAACTTCTTAAGTGCAATATCCAGCTTGTATAAATGGCTTGAAGTGGTCAGTTTCTTTGAATAAAAAATATATCTAAGTGACAAAATAATAATAGTATTAATAATTATATTGTTGTTTTTGTGAAATTTCTTATTTCAGTGTCAGGTGGATTACAGCAGGAATCCAATATAAAGAAAAATCCTCCTGATAATCAAATCTGACTTGTCCATCCGGAATGTGGCCCCTGTTTAAAGCAGCTGTGAGGTACTTTACCTGTCCTGTCATCCGCGACACTGAGGCAGACCAGTTATGTGCATTAAATATGTACATTATATAAGTAATCATTTCCTGGAATCGCAGGTTATGGACACATACTGTAGTGAAACTGAAGATGAACAGGGGTCCTCAGACCATTGCAAAGACACACTTTCTGGGTTGGGTGGCATTTGGAACACACAGGATATGAAGGTTTCTGAGGGCCCTCTGATCGGCCCACTCCCACAGGGAGCGGCTGCAACCAGAGGAGCCATTTCAGGGCGTTAAGCCTCCAGCTGATCTCCAGTGCACCGGTGCACCAGAAGCACTGTGGACCACCGATAAAAAGTTACCGCAAGAAAAGTTCTAAATACCAGCAATATGGGGGACGAAGGCAGACAGGCAGGCGGGCGGGCAGGCGGGTGCGGCCAGGTGTCTCCCCGATTGCTAATGCTGAAATGAATATCGGCAGATTGCCCTGAGTTTCTCTGTAAGCCCTCAGAAACCTTTATGTTCTATATGTTTCAAATGTCACCCAAACCTGAAAGTGTGTGTTTATCGTGTTCCGAAGCCCCCCTCTTCAATTCGTCTTGGGTTTTACTATGTGTGCACAACCTGTGATTATAGAAAATGACTACTTATATAATCTACATAGCTGGTCAGGGGTGGATGCATGCAGACTCATTATCCTGCACTCACGGCCCAGCATATGGGCTCCCGTCTGCTTTTACTGCTTTTTTTATATGTATTTTTTTCCTTAGGCACAAGGCCAACATGATTTTACTTGTGAATACATAAAATTATGCAGCTGTACTGTTCCAGTGGACACACAAGAGGACTTTTCATTTAAACACCTGAACTTAAGGATGCTGATTAATTTCTGAATTCAGATATACAACAGTCCAGATTAGTCTGTACAAAATTCCCCATTGAAACAGTTTAATATATAAGAAAATATTTCAGTAGTTTTAATGTGTTTACTTTGATTACAGAACCAATAAACATCTACAACTAAGAATTAGATGAGATTTTTAAAACAGAGTCAATTATATACACATACCAAAAAACAAATACAGTGGTACCTCAGTTCTCGAACTCATTAGAACTCGAATTTTTTAAAAGTCGAACCAACCAGTTTGAAAAAGAACTACCTAGAGCTTGATCTGAATCTCAGAAGTCAAACCGTGAACGCCGACCTAAGATAACTTGTACGCGCAAGGAAATGAGTCAAGCGGCACGTCTCTCAGCAGAAACAAAGGGTAAAGCTTCAGTCTCAGCCTTGCATTCGCTGTCATAGCATCGTGCATGTTTACACTAACTGAATACATATATTTAGACAGCAAAAATACATTTAGACAATAATAGACAGTAACAGTAATTATTATTATATTATAAAATACATTTAAAAATAAAGATTTTTTATTCATTATTTTAATATTAATAATAAACCATTAATACGTTTAATTATAATAATATTGTTGTGCCTAGCAGGACGGAACGGAGACAAAGGCACAAACGTCAGGGTATCGGGGGAATACGGGGTTTAATTACAGGTAAGGCAGGCAAAACGCAGACGGACAATACAATGACTGGACTGGATCACACGGGGATTCCACACGGGGTTAACGAGGGGGCGTGGCACAGGGAAGGAGTGGACAATCGAGGCAGGACACATTGTTTGGATACATTTATTTTCTTATTTTACAAATGACTATTTTGATAAATGTGCTTAGATGTGTTTAGTACAGTATATGCTCTTCTTGTTTTATCCGGTTCATTTTGTGTTTAAATGCTAAAAAAAAATATTTAAGTGTAATTTTTTTGGGGGCCGGGAATCAATTAATTGGTTTTCCATTATTTCTTATGGGTTCTGAACGGATTAAATTCGAGTTCTGAGGTACTGCGTACTGTATGTGTTTGCATTCAAAATAATATATAACTGTATGTACATAAACTAGTGAAGGATGAGAGATTTCGTCAATTCATTCCCCACCTAGATAAGGCCTCAAACATATTTATCCCTATGTTATGTTAATACACAGTTTTGTTTCTAGATGAATGAATGCTTTAATAATGCATTTTACTAGCAAATAAAAAGCTACAATGTAATTAACTGTAAATATATAATTAAATATAGCATATAAACAAAGTTCTTATTGCAAGAATGTGTTGTTTGTTCGTGGCGGTTCATTCGCTTACTATGAATAATAAGAGATGTGACAGAGGCGTTGAAGTCCCTCTTTCACCACAGCCTGCAGCTCCGTATGAACACCACACGCAAACAGAGGCGCTGTTAGTCTGCCTTATTACACCTTGCAGTTCCGTTTGTGACCGCGTTACGTGGAGGCACTGTGATTCGGGCAGGGACGTCATGACACATTTTCAGCATGCCCTGCAATTCTTATTTTTACCACATGACCCGGGGGCGCTGTGATTAGACGGAAACGTGTCGGTGACCATAGTTTGCAGTTCTGTTATCCGCCGCATGTGGCGCTGTGCTAAAAGAGGCGGTGTGATTGTTGATTCCATCTTGCTTATCCGGCGTACTGGTTAAGAAGTTCCCATCGGCGCCGAGTTAACTAAACACTACACTAACTATCTTTCTGCGCTAACTAGCTTCTTTTACGTATCAGCTGAAGTGAAATACTCCTAGCAGTAATCGCTAAGCCCTTGCGCCGTCATGTCGCGTCCTGTGGCTTGTCACAGAAATGTGGTGCCGTTGTGAAATTCATATAAACAGCTTCTGTCTGCTCAGCTAGGTTACTAGCTGGTTAGCCAGCATGATCTATATGAATATGAGCCACTTTCAGCAGTCACAAGGTAAGTATGCGATCTAGTTCAGAAGATGCCTTTTTAATTGTAACGTACGTAAGTTTGCCGGCTGCGGCGTCATTTAATCATTTTATGATATTTTGCTGCGTTTAAACCATGATATGCAGTCTCAAAGAAAGATGCAGTTCACTGAGTTTACAGTAGGAATGAAAATGTATTTAAACCCGTCTGTAGTTGCACTCTGGATTTTTTTGTATCGCTTATAAAATTTTATACATCGGGTGGCTCAACTATGTTTAGCAAATATGTGTCGATAACTATCTGATTGACACTACGTAATATGATTACTCTATTTACTGTCTAAACAATAGAATCAAGCAGGTGAAATGTAACCATGACATTTGAGTACCATACCAGATTGGAGTTATGTAGCTTATCCGCTGTATTTTAACATAGAAGTGTCCCAGACAGAGTTAAACACCTAAAAAAACACAAATCCACTTGATAAGTAAAGACTTAGTGTCTTTAAGTTCATGGAGTCTTTCAACTGCATATTTCCATTGATAACCCCTGTGCTTCTACTATATAATCCAGGCTTTTTTCGGCAAAATAACTTTAATGGCGCTTGTCAAAGTGTCATCAATCCGTAATTTCTTTTCTATCTCAATAATGCCGCTATGATTCACATAACTAACTAAGAAGCACCACTACTGCGTTTGTCAGTATCCCGTGACAATGATGCCTGATGACTCTCGCCTCACTGCCTGCACCTTACTTATCTCACATATTACATCTCATATATTTCAAAGAGCTCATTTGATTTTTTTTTACCCTGTAATGGCCAGTAATTTGGTTTCAGCTGCATAAAATTACCTTCTTATAAATTTTATTTCTAACTTGGCACGTACACCATGTTCCTGGAAATCGTGTTACTTACCCCCCGAATAAGGCATTACTGATATTTACCAGTAGAAGTGGGAATAATCATTTCTACATTCAGCATAAATGATATAATAATAAGCATTGCCATGTTATCTTGTAGTATTGATAAAGTTATATGAGGGGGCCGGTATCGGAGGCGTCCTGTGGCTGAGATGGCCGCGTGAAGGCATCTGCTGCCGCCACTAGGCGACATTGTTGTTGAGCGCCGGGATCACATGGAGGTAATGTGGCTGCCTGGCTTCTTTCTGTGATCAGCGTGACGTAACTCATGGCAGCTAGAGACGTTCGGACGATGGAGGACGAGTCCCCCACCTTATGTCCTCGTCGCATCCAGAACCAGAATGTCGTCCACCGACTGGAGAAGCGGAGGATCTGCTCCGGCCGGCCCGGGGCCCACTGGTACCGCGTGCGCTGCCTCCACCAGAACGTGTTCCCGAACTTCACTGTGGTCAACGTGGAGAAGCCGCCCTGCTTCCTGCGCAAGTTCTCCCCCGATGGACGCTGCTTCATCGCCTTCTCCTCGGATCAGACCTCCTTGGAGATCTACGAGTACCAGGGCTGCCAGGCGGCCGAGGACCTGCTGCTGGGTCAGGAGGGCGACACGCTGGCGGGGGGTCATGACCAGAGGTCCTTGGGCGTGCGCGCGCGCCTCTTCGAGCGCTTCTTCTCACTGCTGCATGTGACCAGCGTGGCGTCCAACGGCGAGCACCTGAACCGCGAGTGCAGCCTGTTCACAGATGACGGGCGCTATGTCATCGTGGGCTCGGCGGCCTACCTCCCCGAGGATCCGCACCCGCACTTCTTTGAGGTGTACCGTAACAACGAGTCGGTGACGCCCAACCCGCGCTCGCCGCTTGAGGACTATTCGCTGCACGTGGTGGACCTGCACACGGGCCGACTGTGTGACACGCGTGCCTTCAAGTGCGACAAGATCATCCTGTCGCATAACCAGGGTCTCTACCTCTACCGCAACATCCTGGCCGTCCTCTCTGTGCAGCAGCAGACCATCCATGTCTTTCAGGTGGGCTCCAATGCAGACTGCACTCCTTCCGCCAAGCTGCCAGCTTTTACTCGTTCAGTGTTGCTCAGTGTCATTCAGTTATTCTTTCTATCTATCTTGCCATCACCCGTAGGTGTGTTGTTCAGGCCCGCGTAGACGTGTGTCACCTCCCACCCCCCGCAGGTGACCCCAGAAGGCACCTTCCTGGACGTGCGGACGATCGGACGCTTCTGCTACGAGGACGACCTGCTAACCCTGTCGGCTGTGTACCCAGAGGCGCGGGCAGAGGGCCAGCAGGGCTTTGCGCGTCTCTATAAGGAGAAAGCCATCAACTCGCTGAAGCACCGCCTGCTGGTGTACCTGTGGCGGCGTGCCGAGCGGGATGGCAGCGCCGCCGCCAAGCGCCGTTTCTTCCAGTTCTTTGACCAGCTGCGCCAGCTGCGCATGTGGAAGATGCAGCTGCTGGACGAGAACCACCTGTTTATCAAGTACACCAGTGAGGACGTGGTGACCCTGCGCGTCACCGACCCCTCCCAGGCAGGGACCCATCCGCCGCGCACCTCCGGTCCCTTGCCGGCCGTAAAGCACTTCCAGGTTCACACAGGGAATAGAACATTTACAGTATCATATTTCTATTTATTAAACCTAGATTTTTAAAAAGAGTTTTACTTTTGAGTGACAGCTAGTAGATAGCGATCCACAATATATCGTTAACATGTTGGGGTCGGACTGATGCTGCCAGTTTTTAAACTTATCAGTATTCAAAATTAATAACACCACAGTTAAAGATGCAAGTACTGAAATAATGGAGAAGATTGAATTGGATGATCAGTCATTTTCCATCGTGGCACATGGGAGATTTCAGCATCGCCTTCCCCACTTAGAAGAGGTCTCAAATTATTGGCCCGCAACATTTTTATATCTCATTATAGAATGTAGCCAACAGAACGAAAATAAAAATGATGTAATGTCATTTGGCTAATCTGCATTGGCAAGCTCGCACGTTTCGCCGCTGACAGTAACCAGGAGTTTGGGTCCGTTTACCCTCCCCAGCCCTCATTCTTTGTAGTGTACAACATGGTGTCCACTGAGGTGATGGCTGTGTTTGAGAACACGTCCGACAGGCTGCTGGAGCTCTTCGAGAACTTCTGCGACCTGTTCCGCAACGCCACGCTGCACAGCGAGGCCGTGCAGTTCCCATGCTCCGCCTCCAGCAACAACTATGCGCGGCAGGTGCAGAGAAGGTGACCGACTGGCACCCTGTCTGGGCAGCTGCTTCCTGGGAGGGCGGGACTTCCTCTGTGACCTGTGTTCATACCCCAATTAGGTTCAAGGACACCATTGTGAATGCCAAGTATGGTGGGCACACGGAGGCAGTGCGCCGTCTCCTGGGACAGTTGCCCATCAGTGCCCAGTCCTACAGCAGCAGCCCTTATCTGGACCTTTCACTCTTCAGCTACGATGACAAGTGGGTGTCTGTGATGGAGCGCCCCAAAACCTGCGGGGATCACCCAATCAGGTAACACGGTGAATCGAGGAGGCGTGGCCCTGGGGTATGTCACCAGCCATGACTGCTGTTCGACTGCTGAGTCCCCCACCTTAAGTCCCCATCGCATCCAGAACAGAATGTCTGGAGCAGCGGCGGTTCTGCTCACTGGTATCAGGTTGCCTAGGTTTGAAGATCTCTCTTGCGCAGTGGTAGGATGGGTGTGTGGAGCTCGGTAGAAGAAAATAGTTGCTACGTTAAACTGCTCACAAAAAAAGTCTGTAGATGATCCTGTGTAACCGGGTCATAATTTCTGGTGAGATACGTGTTGTTGAATTTTTCAGATGTTTTTCTCTGGCTCTTTAATCACAACAGAAAGAATGTCATTCACTCCCATTATATAAGAGAAGACTTTTATATAAAAATTTATACAGCCAATACCTCCAAAAGTAGGCAACTCTCAGCAGAACAACATGGGTGGATATTCAGCACTAAAACTCCTCTAAAACATCTTTTTCAGTTTTGGGGTGAACGGCCCCTTTAAGGTAAAAAAGTTTGTGAGCATCCAGCATGCAATAAGTGTATGTCTGTACAGACGTCTGATAAGCAGTAATGTCACTGCATATTTTTAGCAGTGATTGCATTCTAAGTACACCACGTATCCATCTGTTTTCCCCCAACTTTTGCTTTAAATCAGGCATTTTTTCCAGTGTTCCTTCTGTCTCACTTTTTTACATGCTGAAGCTGCTTGTGTCTCGCCCCTGTAGGTTCTATGCCCGAGATTCCGGCTTACTGAAGTTCAAGATCCAGGCGGGCCTGCTGGGCCGGCCCATCAACCACACGGTGCGCAGGCTGGTCGCCTTCACCTTTCACCCGTTCGAACCCTTTGCCATCTCAGTGCAGCGCACCAATGCCGAATATGTGGTCAACTTCCACATGCGGCACGTGTGCCTCTGACCACGGCGCCTTTCTGCAGTTCTGATTTTATTTTTTTAAATTCTGTTATTAAAAATATTTTTTTTTAAGAGAAAGCAGCTGCTGTTTTATTTATTTCTTTATATTTGTCTCCAGAAAGAGAGCTCTGAAGTCGGGCTGATTGTCCCCCCCAGGCTTAGTGTTATTTTATGAGGGCTAATGAAGGTCTGCGTGGTTCAGACCTTGCCTTTGGACCCATATTACGATGCCATTGGCTCGTTCGTCTGAGGCCTTTCTGTCGCTCGGGATTCGATTACAGCCCATTGGTTGGCCTATACTGAGATTTTATGAGGGGACGTTTGTAACACTGTAGAACATTCCTGTCTCTGCTCGAGGTTCCTTCTGAAAGAGCTTGTCAGAATAATATGACTTTTTGTTTATGCTTTGCAGAAGTCTAGCCACAGAAAGTCAAATTTTTTGGAGAAAAGCTAATGGTTTTAAATGTCTTTGTAATTCAAGACGCTCTCCTCCCACTTGCGTGTAAATAGCGTGTTTGTGAGGCTTTGTAGGGGAAGACATGGTGGAAATGGGCTGTTCCAGTGTCAGTCTTTCACATACAAGCTGAGGACGGTTTCTCATTGCAGCGGTTCCCACAGGCCTGCTTTCTGAGCGTTCACATTAGGCTGCAAGTTGTTTGCTCTGCACAGTGTGGACTCGTGGAGCCAGATGAGTTCACGAGAGGAGATTAGGAGCAGAGCTCTGTGTCTTGGCTAAACCCGTGAAAGTCACTTGTGCGTACAATGCATTAAACTGCCTGATGCTTCTAAAAAATGCCTCCAATATACCCCAGTGTCTGGAGTTACTCTCAGCCGCATATCCAGGCTACGAGTGCAGAGCCTTCATGTTGACCGTGAGACATTTTAATTTTGACTGCTGGATTTAGGGATAATTCTGGGATATTGGCCTGTCGTTTTCCGTAAGTACAGATGCAGGACAGCGGGACTCCCGAGTGCCATATCCCCGTCTGTGACCTTAAAGTGCAGAGCAGCGTCTGTATTTGTGGTCCTGAATTTCCAATTCAGAGCTGACGAAGAAGGTGGGCTGCGTGACATCACATTGCAGTGTAATCACAGTTATATGGCTCCTGTGTAATAATCACCAGGGCTTTCGATGATGGGTGAAACCTTTGTTTTTTGGTATTATACAGACATTTCCTTACAGACATTTCCTTACGCCCACAATTTGGTAAGCACATTAGTAGTGTGCCTAAAATATTAATGAGCTGTGTATTGTGATGCCCAAAAGTTAGTAGTCTGTATAAATTCGGCGTATCCTTTTGTTTATTAAATTTGGTTGGTGGGGCACTCCGCATGCGACTGTGTTGGTAAATCATGGAAGAATTTCAAATGAAATTAAATAGCTGTGCAATCTAAATTTAATAAATAAAAAAACTGTACAAATCAATAAAATTGTAGGTCATATTGGGAAAAAAAACATAATTTAAGAATTTTAAAATACCAAATGTGTTTTCTTCTATCACAAGTTCCTCCGCATATCTAAAAGCTCATAGGCTGAAATAGCAGATGAGTTCAATAACAGAATGCCTTCCACGAACAGGCTGTAATCTCACGGCCCAAAACCGATGCCTGCCCCTTTCCCTTTGCGTACCACACTGCTTCATTAGGCTGCAGCCAAAAATGTGATGCAATAAAACCCGTCATCCAAACCCGTCTGCTTTACAAGGGCTACGTGAGGCTGCTGTCTGTTGGACAGGAGAGTTTGTGGGGGCCGGTAGCAACTGAGCCTCTTATTAAACTGCCCCAGGTCAGGGTCGAACGACAAATGCAAGTAATGTACCTATTCCCCGAAAGCAATTGGGCTACAAATTACGAATTATACAAATTAAAGCTCAGACTTGTCACTGCATTTTAATAGCGCCTTTCAGGGCACAGGTTTAAATCTCTGGCAGGAGATCAATATTTCACATTTTATAATTATTTCCCAGCAAATTAGGGAATTATAGCTAATCAATTCCTTTTTTATACAGCATCACAGGTCCATCATTTTTGTGAGAAACCTTCTAGTGAATTTCCATCCATCCACCTTTGAAGCACTTACCGTACTCGGGGACATGGGGCCTGATGGTCATCCCAGGCTTGTGAATATACTTATTGTAATGTGCAAATTATTATGTGGTTGTATTAAGTAGCGTGAATTTGGGAATGGATGGATATATTTAGGGTGGCCCGGGTTCATACTAGCCAGGAGATGCCCCCCCCCCAGGAGTCAAACCCACAGCCCTGGGTGTGTGAGGCTGCGGTGGTAACCACTGAGCCCCCATAGTCAGCCGGTCTTTGTCAGTTCCCCCCAGAAGCGGCGGGTTGGGAATCTGCCTTAGTGTCATTGCAGCCTGTGGTGTCCCCTGGAAATGTGCCAGCATTCTGTGGTTCGGCTTTTTATACACATTTGCCAGCCATGGTATCACACTGTAATGCATTAAACGACTGTCTAATTAAGCACCTAGTTAAATCCTTCATGCGCTGTGCAGCCACCTTGGCCTCCTGCTCCGGCCCTGTAGGGTCAGGGGCCCAAGGGCCCCCTTAGCCGCGTGGTCATCAGAGCAGGGTGCACACCGGCCTCTGGGGGGGGGGATTCCTACATTTTCTTTATTTGCACCGTTCCTGCTTGTGCTTTTTATTCTGTTTCACAATGAAAAACTTTTTTAAAAAATTGTACATATTAAGCATTGATATTAATACATGCTGTGCAAAATTATAAAAGCTTATGCTGTGCATAAGTTATTAAAGTCTTATTTTTAACAGAATATGTCACTTATAATTATCTTTCACCAAAATGAGTGAAGAGCCACATTAAGAAAGGAGCCTTGCAGAATGAGACCCTCTGAGTGCCACTGTAGACTGTTTAAGCATTTAACCTGAACCGCGTAATAAGCTGGAAAATAAATAATGAAGGTAATGATTTTTCTCGCCCGCTACTCCTCGAATGCACCATATTAAACATCTCCACAGAAAAAAAACTGACCATACTTAAATCAGCCGCTACTTGCTAGCTAATGGGCCCATTAAAAATAATGAGTTAAACATGCTTTTGAACAAAAATGGCCAGTTTCGTGTGACAGGCCCATGGCACAAGGATGCTTCCCCCCCCCCCGGCCACATCTCCAGTGGAGAAACACCTGACTGGTTCAACCTGGTCCGATAAAGGCAGAGCCCAGGTCAAGTGTCCCCTAGCAAGGAAGGGATGTTTGGTGGCTGCACCTGGCGTGCACCTGGACTTTCTCATTTTTAAATGTACCCCCCCTGCATGAATCACAATGGGGGGGAGATGTGCAGCCAAAAAGGGCAATCCACTTTTAGGAAACTTCACGACACGTCCTATCAAGTCAACAGCTGAACTTTACATTTTAAGTTGTCAGAAATTGTAGAAGTGTTTCAAATTGTTCTTTTTTTCATTTTGGCTGGTGTCTTAGTAGCTGGCCTTAATTCTGCCTGTGATAATTGCTAATTAGAGACCAGCTGTGGACTCTGATATCTGGCCCCCCATCAATGACAGGACTAACTGGGGTTACCTGTGAAAATACAGCAGGTGCTGTGAGATTAAGTGTCCAGCCTGCCTCTAGTTACACAAGCTAATTGAACACATTCAGGCGATTGCTGGACACCTGGGGGGGGGGCATGTGGAGATGGGGAGGTGTCACTGACATTTCGCTCTCCTTGTTGAACTCGCTCATTGTAAACTCCACTCAAGTCCAGATATGATCGTCATAAATGGAAGTTACCTTGAATGGCTGTGAGCTCATTAATGGTTGGAGGTTCCTGTGCTGGGGAGGTTTTCTCTAAGGTTTATCCAATATGATTATTTCATGTTTCTTCAGTTAAGTTGCTGAGACTCAGTTACCCTACAAAGTCCAATTGATTCTCTAATGGCTGATCTTGAAAAAAAATGAAGGGGGACTCAGAGATGTGTTAAGATGCTTGACGCTGTGGTTCATTGCTGGCCTTACATGGTCTCCATCAGTCAACAGTAGCACACACCCTTCTCAATCAAGACACTATTTTGCCTGGAGGGTCTGAAAGCTACCAACACCCAACAGAGGAAATGTGAGGTATCCCTGAGTTTAATCGCAGTACCTAATCATATGACCCCCCCCAGTTCTGTGTGCCTTGCGACATGGCTAGCAGGAAAACAGATGTGAGCTGTTGGCTTGACCTCAGTTGCTATGGCTACTCGGTGCACAGAGTTACATCCTCAGCCTGCCTGGAAACTGAGTTCCTGCTAATTGCTGTTGTCATGGCAATGAAGCCCTTGACGTAATACTGGGAAAGGGCAGCCATCTTAAATGGGTCCATTTATTTATAGTGTTTAATTCCATTTCTTGTTCGCCATTGCTCAGAAATGGACAAGATTGTGTTACGGTCACCGGGCCGGACGTTGGAGGACAAGCTCTTTGCGAGCCGACCGGAACTCTCCGTATTCCTCTGCTATCTGCAATAAACCGTCATACAGTATAGAGCACCTGGATGGTCTGACCCTGCAACTGCGAAGTCATGTGCCGCTGTTAGCCTTTTAGCCTGTAAACCTTCATATACTTACTTTGAGATCATAGCTGAACAGAAAGGCTGAAATGAGTCTTCCTTTGGAGGGTCACACCAGTAAGTCAAAACATCTTTACTATCTGATCAAAGCAGTCATAAATCAACCCAGGTGACAGACAGCAATAGATAATGGTTCATCAGACATATTTTACTGATAACTGGACTTTTGCGATAGCACGTGTAAATGTTCAGCTATTTCCTACTCTACCCCTGAATGTTGCCCTGAATACCTGCCATATACGGCTATAAGCCCTTCTCCAAGGTCCTAGAACATTCCCAGACACTAGCAGACGGCACGCAGGAAAAGCAGCCCTTTGACGACGAAAACTCCACGTCTTCTTGCTGAAGGCGTCTCCATTAATCTGCCGAAGGACCTAATGACCCACAAGGAGAAAGGCAAGGAGATGCTTTGTGTGCTCTGCGGGCTTCATGCGCGCGACCTTGGGCGAGGGAGGACTGCAGGGGTGACCTGCCACCGAGGGGAACGAGGCGAGGGAGAGTGACCCCCCCCCCCCTCCCTTATAATCTGTGTGGGGGGAGAAAATCAGAAGGGACCACCTGAGTCACATCAGGGAGCTGGACTATTCAGGAAACAGATAAGAGCTTTTCAGAGACCATCAGCAGGAAACGTCTTTTATCCATAAAAACGCCGCATCCCCCCCCCATAGTTTTTGTATTGTCATTTTAGTGCTAGCATGTACATTTTCTGTTTGGAAATAAGGGGAAGAGTGGAAACGAAGGGATTTCTCATACTGTCGCTCTCGCTCAAAAACAAACCAGAAGAGCCAAGCCAGAGAGGTCACCCTAAGCACTACACTTCTAGTCAGACTGCTTGCACTAAGGAAAGCGATCGATTCATTTTTTTCAGTTTTTATGTAAATGAATATAACTGTTCTAAAACGGGGAGTGCTTAAAATTTGGATTTCACCGAAGTGTGATTCAAATTCCACGGTCTTAAATGCTTCCACATCATGTTTTGTGAAAACGGGACAAAATAAAAAAATGGGACAAATATGAAATCAGTGATAGCATCTGGCAGACAAACCTAACAGGAAAAACATTGCTAAAATTTTTTTTTTAAAAATAACCCGGCTTCAAAATTTTTAGATGTCACGCAATGCACCCATGTTAGCCCACCACGTCTGATCACTCACATAACCTTAAAATAACCAGTGACAAACCGAACCGCTAGGGGCGGGTCCTTATACACACTAACAGAATCCTTCTCAAAGTAGGAATAGTGTCCAGTGGCAGGCAGAGTGCGGGCTGGGGGCTCGCTGTTCTCTGATAACACGACCGTGCTCATGGCCGCACCCCCGGCTCAGCCTGACGGGAGGGATGCAGGCTGAGAAGAAGCCCCCCCTGTCTGCTCCTGGGCGGGAATGTAATCTTCGGCAAGTTGGCTGCTTGACCCTGGAGGACCCCAAACGGGCACATGTATGCACACCTTACACCTTAAACCAGGGGCCTTTCTCTGAGCACACGATTGCACAAAAGGTAATGCACCCCCCCCCCCC